ATTTATGATCATAAATCTTTAATTGTTTTCATGTTCTCGTCCTTATAGAATTGGTTTTCATAATTAGTCCCGTAAAATTTATCGAGTCTATTCACTCTTGATCCGAAACGCGCGTTTAGAAAAAGATTAAGTAATACGTTAAGCCCTATTTTGAGACTGCCGATGGAGCAGGACCTGTTTTATTTCATTGTTCTACCGTTTATCGTTTAGGGAATAATTTCGTAATATTGTAGCCTTAATATTTGTGCAGTAAAGCATATCTTAAACTTTGGAAACTTGACATATGTTACTGCAATCACTCGACAGTAAATATTGCACTGCTTATTCGAAACTGATTAATGAAAAAGATGGCAAGGAACATTTTTAATATAAAATTTGCCATTGTCTTCAGAAACTCATAGCAAGGGTAACCTAATGTTAATTTCTCATTGTCCTATAGTACTAAAACAAATAGAAAACATTGCGTCCTGCTTTTCTGTCTCTTACCACCACCATTCTCTCTCTCTCTCTCTCTCTCTCTCTCTCTCTCTCTCTCTCTCTCTCTCTCTCTCTCTCTCTCTCTCTCCTTTTCTGTCTCTTACCACCACCATTCTCTCTCTCTCTCTCTCTCTCTCTCTCTCTCTCTCTCTCTCTCTCTCTCTCTCTCTCTCTCTCTCTCTCGTATTGTCTCTCGCTACACTTCAACGTCTATCTCGATTTCATCATATAATAATAATAATAATAATAATAATAATAATAATAATAATAATAATAATAATAATAATAATAATAATAATTTTTGAATGGTGTGGTGTAGCCACCTTATTTCACACAGACACTCTCACACACATACAGAAAGACTTACGTTTCTTATAAAATGATTTATTTTTAATTGGTATGGTTACATAATTTCGCTGTAACATACCACAATAAAAATTTAAAGTAGAATGCTTGGCGATACATGGATATTATTTTGATTCCATGGCCAGACACAAACTATAGTTTTCATGAACTTTTTTTTTTATTGTGCTCACTTTGACAATATTTTGCTGTATGCACTACTCTACCAGTAAATTAAATATATCAATCCGACAGAAACGACATGCGCAAAGAAACGTACCTTTATCAACTACTTGCTTTTACACTATTGAAATGTTTATCAGTATTGCTGTGAAAGTATTGTTCAAGTGGTGCTACTTTCTGTGCACAATGATTGCACTAGAGGTTCAAAATATTCCACGAGTCACAATAAAGGTCGATGGAAAAGTTGTTTTGTGAATATTGTGGTCAAGCAGTAAGCATCTATGGCAAAATCATATAGTACTAAATAAGTGGAGCTCTAGTCTTACGTTACAATGTTGTCAACCTTAAATCATTGCAAAGTTTATATGTTTGTGTTGTTATGATCCTGTAGTTAAATTGTATGTGTGTAAAAATTACAATTCTTTCTAATTCTTTGTTTCATTGTTACTTAATTTTTATATCATTAAATATAATTATTGTTTTGATGATGATTATGTTTGCATGGGTCTAATATTTTGTTCGGAACATTGTGTTAGATAAAAAAAAGGTAATTGTAACTCGTGTAAGCATGAGTTTTGCATGAATGTTTTGTCGTTGCAAGTAGACAGTCTGGAAAAGCTATGCAAATGATTGGCTGTGACCACGTCATTACTAGTTTACGCTTTTGTAATAACCTTCGTGCATGTGTACATGAAATGACGTACTATTTTGCTTTAAATGCTCAGTTACACAGTTAAGAAATATTCAGTCGTATTTATATGGTTATATTTGAGAGTCCCTATCACCTTATAGACTTTTAAAACTTTTTAAAATATTTCTGTGCTGGAAAGAGTTGTGCGTTCGTACGTATTAGGAACAATAAGTGTATTGTTAGTGGTGGTAGCTGTACTTCATCTACTTTCTAAATAATTGTTTTCCCTGGAGAAAAACACTACTGATTTTTGACAAAGACATTTGCTGAAATTATTTCTAAATTGGAGCAGGACAATACAAATTGTGATTCACAGTGAAAATTATAAACGTTATGTGTTAGTCTTGGTCTGATGTCATCATCCACCATCTCGGAACAGAACTGAGATTCAGAATGCATCAATTTAGAACTGTTTATTCACGTACTTTATTTTGACAACTTTAGAACAAATGTTTGTATATCCTTCGTAAATCGTAAGTCTTGTTTCGTATATTTACCTTTTCTACGAGTTTCTTTAGGAAAATAAATTATTTTTGATAAAAATTTCAAAGCGTGTTGTCTTCACTCTTTGTGTTACTTTGAACGAGCCGATATGTTATAGTGTACGTATATGTCTGTTTGGAACTAAATCTTAAAACTCCTTTCCTCTCTTTTATGTGTCATTGCATTGTATGTTTATTTGAGGTTATAGTAATGTGTCTGTAAACACCCCTACCTCAGTGTTATAGTATGCCTGTATATAAATTTCTCACCCATGCCACAGAGGCCTACGTGTTTAGCTAACCTTACTTTTATATCTATCTCTAATTATCTCAGACCTGTTTTCTCAGTCACGGCGTCCACGCGCTAGGAACTAATTTTAATAAGAAGCCTAAGATCGATGCCTTCTGTTATAAAATCCAACAACAACAACAACAAACATATAACAAGTAATTTACTCAGAAAGCAACTTAAAAATTTCTCCAACTTTGATATGTTACGTATCTAGGCTCGTTCAAAGTAAAAAAGAAAAGATTGAAGCCAACAAGCTTTGTAAAATTAACAAAAATATTTCCCTAAAAAACAATGTAAAAATATGAAAAAGAACTTATTATTTGTGAATCTAATCCAAATATTATTCATAAAATTTAAAAATATGTCCTACCACTAAAAAGTTATAATTGAATCAAATTCTAATTCCGATCAAGTTCCAAGATGGAACGCTATACCGTTTTCTATAACCTGTTTTGTGTTGTCGTGTCAACAGTCGCCAAAATAAATATTCCAGCTTTAGAATTCCGAATAATTTCTAATAAATGTCTTTGTTCAAAAATTATGATGAGCACTAGATATTTCCAGGAAAAATAAATTATTTTAAATATAAAATTCTACTCGAACTCGTCACAACAACAAAAAATAACTTTGATCTCCGAAGGTATGCTTTAAGACTGATTTAAATCACTATAAAACCTTAGTTTTAAACGCAATTTTAGATCACGTGATGTGGTAACGTGGTCACTTAGTTAGAATGGCGTAGTAACACCATAGGCCGGCTGACACATACGTCATGGATGAATTTGAGTCTAATGAACGAATCTATAAGACTGAATAAATATTTATAATAAAAAAGTTCCTAATATGAAATTGACACGCATGCGATGTATGACCTTGATTACGACCAATAATTTTCACTCTAGGAAAGGAATAAAAAAAGGTTGAGAACTAGGTCAGTTACAATGTAGCAATACTGGTTATTTACCAGGTCAAAACAGAACTGAACTGAATTTTCCGGAAAAATGTGAAATTCAGTGAATAAAGTTATTATTACAATAACATGTAATTAAATAAAAAATAAATAAAATAAAACTAACACACAAAGAATTAAATTACATATACGTAACAGATGACACCATACAAAACATTTTGAACCACACACACACACACACAGACACACAGATGTTGAGCTATTTAATAGAGCTCCCGACACACAGACAATGCATTATTACTGAACACAAAATACCAAACTCAAGTACTACTGCAAAAACCAGAAATGTATTATGTCAAAAGGGTTTCTTCTATCTTTGTCGAACACCTACAATCCGCTCCAGTGGAATCAAATAGAATAATGTGATTGCACTTACCAACCAAACTTGTTCATTCATCAGTCCATATGCTGTTCTACAAAAAGATTTTCATGTAGGGTATCATTGCACTAGTGACTGCAACATTTGCCATATTTCCAGGACAGACAATATAAATTTGTAAGAAAGTCATGAATTAGAAATTTCCTGATGTCACTACACATTGCGTTAGAACTGTATCCATTAGACATATACTGAACAGTATCGTACCGTTGCCAACTGTAAAACGTTTTCCAAAATTATAATTTATAAAAGTTAAAACTTAACCGTATTAACGATATTAATTATTTATTGTCAATTTTATGACATCCGTCAATTAAATGTGATAATACTGTAATAATATCAAATTATTTTATATTCCTAGTTTGTGAACTTAGGGTCGACAGGTTACTCCATTACCATATTCGACTTAATGCACAGTATTAGGAAAATAAAAGCATGTGGCTCTAGACGCTCATTGCACAGTACCTCCAACACTTAACAATTATAACTTTTTTGTTGTTCTTTTTTAAGAGCGGTATAAGTAGCTCGATTCTGCTTAGATAATTATTGCAATTTTCATAAAAGTACAAATTCTGATGTCTTTTTATGTAGAGTGAGAAGCAATATAAGTACCTGATCATCGCTTTGGAGGGACAAATAATACAACCCCCTTGATTAGGATTTCTGTCTCTTCCAATTTCAACAGAGATTCTATTAATTGTATGCATTAGGGAACACTACTACTGTTATGTGATAGTATGTAAGTATAGCGCATTTATATACACTCTCACTCTTGCCTAATTGTGTTTGATAGTATATTTTGTTTGTGTGACAGTATTTCATCCCCCTTCTTTTATATCTGAACTCCATTTTGTGTAATAGTAGGTTTGTATGCATTAAGTATAGAGTGTGTGTATAAACATTTATTCCTTTTACCTTGGATTGCATGGATGTATGTTTTGATTGTGATGTGATTATGACTTTTAACGTAGCTTTAAAATTTTTTCAGTCATATCGCTACGATGTCTTCAGTGTGGCAGTTTATAGTGATGTCTAGCACTGGGGCATCATGCCGCAGACATGAAGCATGATGTCCCACCCAGTCACATTATCCTGACACCAGGCCAACCAGTCCTAAAACTAACCTCTTAATGCTGAGCGCCAAATGAGATAGCTGTTAGAATCATTTTTGTAAGTCTTTGGTATGACTCGACCGGGGAAAGAACCCAGGACCTCCCGCATCCGAAGCGGACGCTCTAACAACTAGACCACCGGAGCTGTTGTAATCGAAATGCGAGTACTTAGTTGTATATGCGATGTCTTGGATTCTAATAAAACGGTAGTTGCTGGATAGAATGGGTGTAAGTTTAGACATTAAGTATATAAAATATGTTTGCGAGGGATAATATCTAAAATGTTAACATATTTTCAATGTTTGGCCGTGGGTGGCCTAGTGGCATAAAGCGCTCTCATTTAAAGATCCCTGCTATCTCACATATATCCTTTGTTGGTTTGATTCTAAACGTCGGCCAATGTGGGTATGTGAGAAATGTACCAGTCGCTTCCAGTGTGTCACTAGTTCATACCAGGGTTTTCCAGGGTTCTTCCTCAACCAGTTATATGGGTTGCCATGTCTAACCCATCTTGCGCCGAGAATTGGCGTTTTACCCCACAACAACTTTTCCAGCAGATACCCTACTTGTATCAATGCAAGTATAGTGTGTCTAGAAATACTTATAGCGTTCTCGTTGGATAATACTTTTGTATGTATGCAAGTACTGCGTTTATGTAAACATTGACTTCTACATCTGTGCGATAATAATATATGTTTATGTATTAAAAAAACCCACCTCTATCTTTGTGTGATGTTATGCCCCTTTGTATGTATAACGTACGTCCATAAAAACTCCTATCCATATGCGTTAGTATGTTTGTGTGTATGTAAGTATTGAAGATTTACATAAACACTCTTACACTTTTCGTTGGATAGCAGGAGTGCGTGCTTGCATGGCAAACAAACAGTGTCTGTTTGATAGTATATGTAATGTGTTGGACTGTTGATAAAAAAAATTGCAACATTACCATTCCAGTTGTACCCCAAATGACATTTCCATGTTAATTTACCATCCTGCTAATTGTTACCATCTCAATGATAAATTCCCATCGTGCCCCGTCAAGTTTTAAACGTGGATAAACATGGATCACTAATAAAATTACCAAAGAATTGCCCCAGGTACTTTCTAACTCTAACAATGTTTCCACGTGACTCCAATACAGGTTACTGCTTCTAGCAATATTGCCATTACTCTCGCTGTTAATTCTATGGACCATATTAACATTGGAGTTCACATTGTGTCCCATATAGACGCTTTATGTAGACCTTTGGAACCACCGGTGCCTCCAACAGCCATATATAACCTTCTCACGTCTTTCTAAAAAAAAATATTGAAGAAAGGAGAGGAGAAACTAGGATGAACGCGCCAGTTTTATATGGCGGATTTCCTCATGATGAATCGGTATATCGCAATACTAGCGAAGGTAAGCTTTTGTACTAAAATGTATAATTTTGATACATCCGAATGTCCACCAAAACAGATTTCTTCACTAATTAGAACAATTATATGGCGATGGTGAAACGAGGTAATATTGTGAATCGGAATGTCTTCATGATTCAACTATGCATATTTCACCATCCAGACAAAAATGATCAGTTAGTAGCGCCTATACCTATTTTTCGTATTGTCTCATTTTTACGTACATGAGGCATTCTTTCCTTATTGCAAACTAATTAATTATTTAATACGTCTTTCAGCTAATAGAAGCTAATAGATGAAGACTATGATTTTTATAAATGGACCGGGAGGGGATTTATTGATTTTGCGAGATTTATACAAGAGTTTTAAATAATACTGTTTAAACTGCTCAAAGAAAAACGGGTAGATGTTGAGTAGATCCATAGCAGAGAGGTGCATGTCCGTAACAGGGAGATATTACCGAACACCACGGTAGGTTATTTATGTAAGAGATCTAAATTGAAAGACGCAAGGATTTAACTACATTAGACACATAAGGCTTTTTTAAAACCCCGTATTCACTAAAAGCCTTTCATAGAAGCCGATTATCATTTATGTCCTGGATCGGTTAATCCAGACGGTGTTTGAAGGGTGAATAGATTGTTTCTGACCTAATTATTACCTGCCGACCGAACAGAGTTCGGTCCATTGTTAACAGTCACATGTAAGCTGTCAATCAGAAGTGAAATTGACGCGTCATGGTGCTCAAAAGATATTTAGATTGGATTTTGTTTTCTGAAGAAACGGTGATGATTTTTTTTAAAAAAGATGGATTAAAGTGAACATGATACAATGTTCTTGTGTAGGATATGAGTTTGGGAGAGAACAATGTATAAACATGTATTATTGGTTGAAATGTACAAAACCGTCCCTTTTACAATGTGGTTTTTTCATATACACATGGGAATTAGTTTTCATGTACAAATGGGAAGTAGTTTTCATGTACACATGGGAAATAGTTTTCATGTACAAATGGGAAATAGTTTTCATGTACACATGGGAATTAGTTTTCATGTATACATGGGAATTAGTTTTCATGTACACATGGGAATTAGTTTTCAAGTATACATGGGAAATAGTTTTCATGTATACATGGGAAATAGTTTTCATATACACATGGGAATTAGTTTTCATGTACACATGGGAATTAGTTTTCATGTACAAATGGGAATTAGTTTTCATGTACACATGGGGAATACTTTTCACTGCTCTCATGAGAATTAATTTTCATCTACACATGGGAAAAAGTTTTCATGTACAGATGAGAATTAATTTTCATCTACACATGGGAAATAGTTTTCATTTACAAATGGGAATTAGTTTTCATGTACACATGGGAAATACTTTTCACTGCTCTCATGAGAATTAATTTTCATCTACACATGGGAAAAAGTTTTCATGTACAGATGAGAATTAATTTTCATCTACACATGGGAAATAGTTTTCATTTACAAATGGGAAATAGTTTTCATGTACACATGAGAATTAATTTTCATCTACACATGGAAATTAGTTTTCATGTACACATGGGAATTAGTTTTCCAGTACACATGGAAGTTGTTTTCAAGTACACATGGGATGTATTTTTCATGGCACATGGGAAATAGTTCATTAGTACTCACAGCAGATTGATATCAGTCCACCAGTGTTAAATCCAGAAATATTCGGGGTGGGGGAGGACTAACTAAGTAGGCATGGGTGAAATGTAAGACAAAACTCAAAGTTCAGTAGTTTACTTTGGCGTAATTTTAACCCTTTGATTGGAAAGAAAACTTACTCTAAGAAACGTTTATATTGTTTCGTACTCATTTTAGTTAAGGGCAGGGGGAATAGAGCATATCCCCCCGCCTTGTACCAAAATCGCATGATGATAAAATAGCAATGTGTAGTAGGGTAACACAGCATTTGTTTGTATACAGAGATTTAGTCTGACGGTGAATATATATATATATATATATATATATATATATATATATATATATATATATATATATATATATATATATATATATATATATATATATATATATTGTGTGTGTGAGTCTGTGTGCGATGAGAGAATATGGTCGGATGGAGGAGGAGACAAAGTCGTGCTAAAACGTATCTTCTGAAAATTACGTATTATCATCTAAAAATAAAAATAGGGTCAAGTTCTGAATGAAGCACTCTCTCGTTGTTTCTGACGAGAAACGTTATCATAGTGGTTTGAATAATTTGGAACTGAAATCAGTTATTTTTTGTTATTAGCATTATTTCTGCCACAGGATATCCGGCCTCTAACGTCAGTATGCCGGTGACAGATGGTACTTCCAGAACGTCCGACGTCACAGAATTGACGGCATGGGATAAGTTGGTAATTATTGCTGTTGCGGCTGGTGTGTTAACACTGGCAATGGTTTGCATGGTGTGCATCGTTTCCGAACACTGCTTGCTGTACCGATTCTGTCCATGCAACCGCCATGATGATACTACAAGGAAGAAAGGGCAGAAAAAGAAAAAGAGAAGTAAGTTGATGAATGAGAAGATATGATATACTGTTGTGAGGAAGTCAGAAACGTAAAGAATCTTGAATCCGTCAATACTTTTGAATTGATTTTATTTCACCGTCCATGTAAATAAACGAAGAAATTCAATGGATAACATTTATTTCAGGTAATTTATGAAGGATGTTGCTTGATTTGGATATTTTATTTTGAACTTACAAATGCATATCGTTGTATTGTTCAAAGAAAGTTTTTCGACACAGGCCTAAGGCTAATGACTAAAAAAAATCATAAGCCCTGACTGAAATTAGACAAGCTCGAACTCTAATTTCCATATACCCAAAATTTCCTATTTTTAATATTTCATAATTTGTCACACAACGTTGCAATTGCTACATTTTAAATATAAATTCAATGAAGGTTAGTGGATAATGCAAGCCTCAAAGGAGTTCATCACTACACTTTTTTTCCTTCAAAATTTTATTATCCCCGTGTAATAGGTTGACCATTGGGTCGGGGAACCATCCCAAGGTTACCTTACAATCAAAATTTCTTGTTTCCAGATAAACTATGGATAATAAATATAATATATATTAAAAGTAAGAAAAAATAAAAGACAACACAACACAAAGATGCACACACTCATACACATGCATATGGCACAATGTAGGTGACATAAGCTTTAGAAAATAGTGTTTTGTTCCTGTTTACCATCTAATCAGATACAAGTTACCTATTCATCTATTGAGGTCCATTTCTTAAGAAATTGGTCCTCATGTTTGTTTATCTCAGCAGCATATTTTTCAACGTTCTTATACATTACAACTCTCTGCTTAAAAGCATAGATGGAAGGATTTTGCATATTGAATCTGCAAGTATAAATGTAGTATTTTCCCAAAATAAGCAAGAAATTACACAAAATGTCCAGTTGTTCACGTCCTAAAAGTATTTCTTTTTTTGACAAATGTACAATATTTGAGCAAGATGGTGCGAAATGATCAATAAAACTTACCAGAACTGTGAAGTAATATTGCAATCATAGAAGAGATGTTCAATACTTTCATTCTCTTTCTTGCAAAACGTACATTTGTTGTCGTCCAATATGTTTATTCTTTTCAAAAAATCATTAGTAGCGATTATTCTGTGGATTAGTCTAAAGTTAAAAGATATCAATTTGGTATCCTTGGTACAAAATTTTGCCCTGCTATAAATCTCAGACCACT